ATTTCTGAATTTCTGAATTTCTGAATTTCTGAATTTCTGAATTTCTGAATTTCTGAATTTCTGAATTTCCGAATTTCTGAATTTCTGAATTTCTGAATTTCTGAACTTCTGAATTTCTGAATTTCTGAATTTCTGAATTTCTGAACTTCTGAATTTCTGAATTTCTGAATTTCTGAATTTCTGAATTTCTGAATTTCTGAATTTCTGAATTTCTGAATTTCTGAATTTCTGAATTTCTAAATTTCTGAATTTCTGAATTTCTGAATTTCTGAATTTCTGAATTTCTGAATTTCTGAATTTCTGAATTTCTGAATTTCTGAATTTCTGAATTTCTGAATTTCCTGGAATTTCTGAATTTCTGAATTTCTGAATTTCTGAATTTCTGAATTTCTGAATTTCTGAATTTCTGAATTTCTGAATTTCTGAACTTCTGAATTTCTGAATTTCTGAATTTCTGAACTTCTGAAACTTCTGAATTTCTGAATTTCTGAATTTCTGAATTTCTGAATTTCTGAATTTCTGAATTTCTGAATTTCTGAATTTCTGAATTTCTGAATTTCTGAATTTCTGAATTTCTGAACTTCTCAATTTCTGAATTTCTGAATTTCCTGGAATTTCTGAATTTCTGAATTTCTGAATTTCTGAATTTCTGAATTTCTGAATTTCTGAATTTCTGAATTTCTGAACTTCTGAATTTCCTGGAATTTCTGAATTTCTGAATTTCTGAATTTCTGAATTTTTGAGATTCTGAATTTCTGAATTTCTAAATTTCTGAATTTCCGAATTTCTGAATTTCTGAATTTCTGAATTTCTGAATTTCTGAATTTCTGAATTTCTGAATTTCTGAATTTCTGAATTTCTGAATTTCTGAATTTCTGAATTTCTGAATTTCTGAATTTCTGAATTTCTGAATTTCTGAATTTCTGAATTTCTGAATTTCTGAATTTCTGAATTTCTGAATTTCTGAATTTCTGAATTTCTGAATTTCTGAATTTCTGAATTTCTGAATTTCTGAATTTCTGAATTTCTGAATTTCTGAATTTCTGAATTTCCGAATTTCCCAAAAATTGTACTTCTTCCTCCTCTTTTTTCTTCTAAAATCGTGCTCAATGTGTGCTCATTGAGCAAATTTGGGCTTGTTATAAAGAAAAGGAAAACGAGAGGCCCAAAAGGCGAATCGAAAAATAAATAAATAAAATTTCGCTTTTCTCCCCCCCCCCTCCTGTCAATTTTCCTTTAGTTTTGTTCCGTCTTTTCTTTTTGATTTATTGTTTGTCCAATTCCTTTTCTTCAAAACTGCTCGTGAGCTCATTTTTCCATTTTTCTTGGTCACTTTTATCAATTAGTCATATTTAAAAAGAATAAAAAGGCTTTTTGCCCCTTTTTGGCACCAAGTGAGTTTGAACCCCGGACCTCTCGAACGGCGAGCTAAAGCGCAGCCACTGCGCCACTTGGACACTTACGATAGAGGGTGTAGATGGCGTAGAGGTGGGCGCGCTTTTTGCAACTTTTAATGTGGCGAAGAGCGAAGTTATGAAAATGTAAAAATGTGAAAATTGTATAATTTTTACACTCATTTTCCATTTTTTTAACAAAAAAGAATAAGTAAACCGGCTTTGTTTTTCTCCGTCACCGGCGCCTTTCTCTTTTCTATTCAAAAACGCTTTACGCATAATGAAAAAAAAAGGGGAAAAAGTTATGAGAAATAGTGGGAGAAATGGAGAGAGGCGAGAGATTGTGTAATATACAATTTATTTTACAATTTTCAAGAACTTTATTATGCGCAGGGAAAGCAAAGCGCTTTTTCGCTTATTTTTTGTTTGGTGGAGATTAGATATTTCAAGAGATGAAATCGAAATTATTCTTTTAGTTGAGATTTGCGAGTTTTCTGAATTTTTAAAGTTACTGTATTTCAGAATTCCAAATTTTATACTTCTCAAAAGTTCTCATATTCTTTAACTTCTTTGAATCGAAAACTCGTGGAATTTCAGAGATTCAGAATCTCCTCCCTAGACTCCCTTAACTTATAACTTTGAGCGAATTTATCTCCGTCCATTCGGTCCTGTTCAAGATAGGAAAAAGTGATCAACTAATAAAATGTTTATCTTAATATCACAAACATTTTATCAATTGACAAATTTTTGATATCTTTTACAGGAGCCGAGATAAGTAAGGTCAAACTTGGCAGTCCGAATTTCTGAATTTTCAAAATTCGACATTTCATAAAGGATTCTAAAAATTGTAGAACCCTGAACCCTTTGTATACATATAAATGTATAAAGTATATACATTTATTTATAATAAATTCTCTCTCTCTCTCTCTCTCTCTCTCTCTCTCTCTCTCTCCCCAACTATACACAAATAATGTCTCTGCGCCTCTTCCTCCCTCACACTCTCTCACTATTTTTGTTGAAAAAAGCGAAATTTTTTTTTGCGAAATGTATAAATAATATCATATTTTCCCTCCTCCACCCCATTTCTCTATCCTTTTTCCCATTTTTCTTTTACGATTTTTTTTTCTGGATAGAAAAAAAATTTCAGCCAATTTCAGAAAAACAATTGGAATCCTTTTTTAAATGCATTAAATTTTTGAAATGAAAATCGGAAAACCTGTTTTATGTGAGTTACACCTTTGTGAACAAAATTTAATGCAGAAATAGGGGTATTAATAGTAAAAATTGCTATTTTTGAATTTTCTACTTTTTCCTGAATTTCTAGACCAAAAAATTCAAGTTGAGCGTGCCAAGAGCTTCAAAATGAGTATAAACGCAACAAGGCTCCGCTCACTTCAAGGGCTAGAGCGCCAGAGAAACGAGACACTCTGCGTCTCTGACCCCTAAACTCAAAGTGGGCTGAACCTAGGCTTGTTTGGGCTCATTTTGAAGCTCTCGACCCGCCAAATTCAAATTTTTTTATTTTCAGAACTCAAAACTTCACTGGAAAAATTTCGAGGATGTTTTTTTTTAAATTGAAAAAATTTCAATTTTTCGTTTTCAGAAAAATAATTGGATTCTATTTTTTCCTTTTTTTTTTTGAAAATTTCATTTTTAATGCATTAAAATTTTTTGTGAAAATTGAAAAAAACCTGTTTTTCGGTCAAAGAGGTTACGCCTCTGTGTACAGATGGGAAATCTAATGCAAAAATAGGAAATTTTCGAAAATATTGTTTTTGAAAGTTGAGATGTTCAGAAAATCAGAAATTCAGAAATTCGGCAATTCGAAAATCCAAATTTCTGAAATTCAAAAACTTCGAAATTTTCAAAATTTTCAAAAGTACACCACCCAACATTTGTCTAACCCATTATATTTTGAATTCTTCCCTAACATTTGCTCATTTGCACAATATATTAAAATGAGCACAAAATGTGCTCATAAAATGTCTTTTCCCCTCTTTTTCCTCCGATATTCTCTCTAACTTCTCTGCGTCTCTCTCCCTCCCACTCTCTCGTCCTCTCTCTCTCTCTCTTTTATTCATTAGTTATATCTCTTTTCCATTTCCTCTTCTCTTTTTGAATTTGAAATTCGAACCTTTGAATTTCCGAATTTCTGAATTTTTGAAGTTCTAAAATTCTAAAATTCTAAAATTCTAAAATTCTGAAATTCTAAAGTTCTAAAATTCTAAAATTCTAAAATTCTAAAATTCTAAAATTCTAAAATTCTGAAATTCTAAAATTCTAAAATTCTAAAAATTCTAAAGTTCTAAAATTCTAAAATTCTAGAATTTTAAAATTCTAAAATTCTAAAATTCTAAAATTCTAAAACTCTAAAATTCTAAAATTCTAAAATTCTAAAATTCTAAAATTCTGAAATCCTAAAATTCTAAAATTCTAAAATTCTAAAATTCTGAAATTCTAAAATTCTAAAATTCTAAAATTCTGAAATTCTAAAATTCTAAAATTCTAAAATTCTAAATTCTTTTCCAAATTACAAAATTCCCTTATTACCCTCTAATTAAGTCCAATTCTCAAATTACCCTAAAAACGACAAAATTCAAATATAAAATGTACATTTAAATGTCCATCAATCCCCCACCACCAGATGTTCATTCGATTTAACCATTTATTTATGTACTAAAAATGGAAATTAGAAAATACTAAATTTTAGGAGAGAGACGAAGAGAAAAACCCATACTTTTTGAATTTCCTACTACTTTAAAACTTTTAAAAGTTATCAATTCAAGTTTGACGACGGGTCAAGAGCTTCAAAATGAGCCCCCAAACGACTAGGCTCCGCCCGCTTTAAGGCTAGAGCGCCAGAGAAGCGAGACGCTCTGCGTCTCTAACCCCTTAACTGAAAGTGGGCGGAGCCTAGTCGTGTTTAGGCTCATTTTAAAGCTCTCGAGGAGCTCAAAACGAATTTGTAGGTTTCAGAATTTCAAAAAGTTTCGAAAGAGTTGTAAATATCAACATATCAATTTTATGATATTCCTAAATCCTATATTTTGGTTTTACGACACCCAATACGTCTCCTCATTTTTATTTGTGAATGAGAAAATTGAAAATTCTCAATTCCCCAAAATTTTACATTCAATTTTAATGGCGTTTTCCCGTTTTCTTTCTCCCCCCGAATGACCGGACCCCCGGCCATTCTGTCTGTCCCACACACACACGACAGCTGTTCCATTGGGTTTATGGCGTTTTTCTGTCTGTGTGTCTGTTTGTCTATTCGTCCAGGATGTCCGCAAATTTCAGAATTTCGAAACTCTCTTCTCTCTCTCTCTCTCTCTCTCTCTCTCTCTCTCTCTCTCACGTCAACCTAGAAGAATAAAATTGAAAATTGAAAAAAAGGAAATTTCGCATTTTTTATGAGAGCACAGAATTTCTCTTCTTTTCCTATACTATTTCTTTTTTATCATATTTTTTCCAAAAAATTTTTTTTTTCATTTTTCATGACTTTCCCCCCCCCCCCCCGCTTATCTCACATACTCTTTCTCTCTTTATCTTTTTTCTATAATTTTCAGCAAAATTAGGTATTTTTAGAATTTCAAAAAATTAAAAAAAATGATGCTCCACAAAATGTTGCCTCCTCCGAAAATTGAAGATTTCGGGTCGTCGGTGTCCAGCCAAGAATCTGTCAGAAGCTCGATTTCTCCGGAAAATCTTGAGGTGAGTGAGTTTTTGAATTATGAAGCAGAAAAATTAGAACTTGGCGGGTCAAGAGCTTCAAAATGAGCTCCCACACAACTAGGCTCCGCCCACTTCAAACTTTGAGGGCTAGAGATGCAGCGTGTCGTTTCTCTGGCGCTCTAGCCTCAAAAGTGGACTGGGCTTAGTCGTGTTTAGGCTCATTTTAAAGCACTTTAACTGCTTAATACAAATTTAAAACTGAAAACTAGTTAAAAGCAAAACTGAAAGAGTTCGTGGCTAGAGAGCCAGAGAAGCGGGACACACTGCGTCTTTAACCCCCCAAAACTCAATGTGGGCGTATTTGGGTTCATTTTGAGGCTCCTAAAGAGCTTAAAACAAAATTTCATATTTCAAAAACGTTAAAATTCCCTCGGAAACTATTTTTTCTGTAATTTTTAAAAGTTTTGAAAAAAATTTCTCAAAAAAGTTTTTTTTGTTTGATCTCAAAATATAATTGTTACACTTTTTGATGATTTTTAACATTTGTTTTCAAACACACACAAGTTTTTTCTTTTTTTTTTCTTTTTTTTTTTTTGTTTAATTGAAAAAAAAGTTTCTCTGGAAGAGAGAAAAAATCACGATATAAGCTCTACAACACTTTAAAGGCGAATAACTCAAAAACCGTATGAGCTAAAAAAAGGGTCAACTACAAAAATGTTAAGCATAAAATTTTACACATTTTGCTAGTTGACAACTTTCTGATAACTTTTTTAGTTTCTGAGATATGGGCCTTTAAAGTTGGCGCGCACAAATAAGCCTCTCCTCACGCCCCTTTTCGAGCGCTTCGAATTTAAAGGCGCCTATCTTAAAAACTATAGTAGCTACAAAAAAGAGGTCAACTACAAAAGTGTTGAGCGCAAAATGTTACATATTTTAATAGTATTTAATTTTTTAATAGTTCGTTTAGTTTCTGAGATATGCGCCTTTAAAGTTGGCACGAGCAAATAGCCCTCTGTTTTGGCGCACACCAACTTTAAAGGCGCATATCTCAAAAACCAAAAAACCTAGTTAAAAATATAAAACAACGAAAATGTTTAAAACTTTATGCTCAATATTTTCGTAGTTTATAAAATTTTTCTAGATTTTTTAGTTTTTGAGATATAGCGTTTTGAACTTTCGACCTAAAAAAAATTGGAAAATTGTATGCCTCCTCTCTCATCTAAACCAGAAATATATTATTTTTATTTTTCCAAAAAATAGAATTTTTTTCAAAAAAAAAACGCCACCAACCAAACAAATAATTTTGTTTTTCCTTCTTCCTTTCCCCACATTTTCCAATTCTTTCACAAATTTTTTTTGTGAAAACGAAAAAAAAAATTCCTCAAAAAATTTTTTTTTGTGTCTGTGTGCACACATATAAAACTAATAAAAGTATTATACATGTATTTTTTGATTAATAAAAAATTTTTCGCGTTTCTAGAAAACGGCTTATCACAAAAAATTGATAAGGAATTTTTTTTTGAGAAAAATGAAAAAAAAATTTTTTTGATAAAATTTTTTTTTGGAAATTCTTGGTGAGCACACAGTTTTTGTGTGTTTTGTCCAAAAAAACAAACAAAAGAGACTTTTCGAAATTTGACCATTCATACCGTTTTTTCGAAAAATGAGCACAATAATTTTTTTGGAGCCAGGGCGTCTATACTGTCAAGTTTGAGCTCAATTATCTCGGTTCCCATGGAAGATATCAAAAGTGTGTCAACTGATAAAATGTTGCTAATATCATGATAAACATTTTATTAGTTGAAAACTTTTTGATATCTCTCAAAAGAAGTGAGATATAAAAGCTCAAAGTAAACGATCCGGGTGGCGTTCTATTAGAGTGTTTACGGTATTTCCTCTTTCCATATATTTTTTTGCCTTCCCTCAATCAAATATTTATATAAACCGTTTTTTTTTGTTTATTTTGCCCACAATTTTTCTTTTTTTTCTCTCAAAAATATATATTCAATTTTTCAATCTTCTCAGGATCTCATGGAAGACAACGTCGTCGCCAAAAATGAAGATGTGGAAATTTCGGAGAGAGTTAAAAAATTGGAAAACGACTTTGTTTTTATTAAACATCAGGTGAGATAAGGGGAATTTTTGAATTTCTGAATTTTTGAATTTCTGAATTTCTGAATTTCTGAATTTCCTGGAGTTCCTGAATTTCTGAATTTCTGAATTTCCGAATTTCTGAATTTCTGAATTTCTGAATTTCTGAATTTTTTGAATTTCTGAACTTCCGAATTTCTGAATTTCTGAATTTCCTGGAATTTCTGAATTTCTGAATTTCGGAATTCCTGAATTTCTGAATTTCTGAATTTCTGAATTTCTGAATTTCTGAATTTCTGAATTTCTGAATTTCCGAATTTCTGAATTTCTGAATTTCTGAAATTTGAACATTTCGAAAACTTCATGGAAACTCCAAAATATTCCCTTTTCTAACAAAAAGTCCTGTAATTACCCCCTAATTAAGTCTCCAATTTACCCTGAAAACGACGAAATTCAGATTTAAACGCAGAGAAAAACCCATACTTTTTGAATTCTCTACTACTTTAAAACTTTTGAAAAAAACTTAAAATTCAAATTTGGCGGGTCAAGAGCTTCAAAATGAGCCTAAACACGTCTAGGCTCCGCCCACTTTAAGGTTAGAGCGCCAGAGAAGCGAAACAGTCTACGTCTCTAACTCCTAAACTCAAAGTGGGCGGAGTCTAGTCGTGTTTAGGCTCATTTTGAAGCTTTCAACAAGTCTGAGATTAATTTCTGAGTTTCAAAATCTCAAAACATGAATTCCTGATTTTCCGATTTTTTCTACTCGAATTCATTTGAATTTCGCGCGCATTTCCTTCTCTAACAAATAAGCTATTTTTTCGGAGAAAAGTTGACATTTCTGACCATATGCACGCATCGGTAAATATTACAAAAAAAACGGACACCTTTCAAAATGAAAAAAAAATCTGGATTCCAAAAATAAATGAAATGTCAACAAAACGACGATTTTTTAGGTGAATTATGAAATATGTTTTGTTTGCTCTTGTTATTTTTTCTCTTTCTGGCAATTATTGGAGTCATGACTTTATGGATAAAATTAAAATCGATTTTCAGCTCACCTCAATTATGACACATCTACATGTCGAGGGGTGTAAGTGCACAACTTGCGTTAAAGTCAAAGAAGAAAAGGCTCCGAAAAAAGAGGTATACTTTTTTCCTTCAACATTTTATCTAGTGGTTGTTATACTCATGTTGAAGATCTTATAATGCTGATTATGACAATATAATTTTCATGAAAATTGGTCCAAAACTAACCAAGTAACGGTCGTTTTTCCCAAAAGGCTAGAGTGCCAGAGACGCGAGACACACTGCGTCTCTAACCTCAAAACTCAAAGTGGGCGGAGCTTAGCCGTGTTTAAGCTCATTTTGAAGCTCCTGGTCTGCTGAACCAGGTTATATATTCTTTATAAAAATTGGGCCGAAATGAACTAAGCTACGGTTGTTTTACCGAAAAGTCTAGAGCGTCAAAGAAGCGAGACATTCTGCGTCTCTGAACTCTCTTTTTTTTTAAATTTTGAAACCAAATGATTTCGAATCAGCGCGTTAAGAGCTTCAAAACGAGCATAAACACGCCTAGGCTCCGCCCACTTCGTATGCCAGAGTGCCAGAGAAGCAAGACACACTGCGTCTCTAACCTCCAAACTCAACGTGGGCGGAGCCTAGTCGTGTTTAGGTTCATTCCAGCTCTAGATGAGCCTAATCCAAATAACTAAACTATTTTTACCAAAAATCAAAATATTTCAGAACGAAGCCATCGAAATGTTGTCCCACCTATTCCCCAATGCCTCTCTAGAACAAATCCAATCTCTTCTAGACCTCTCGAAAAAGAGCAAAGTACCAAGCACACCAAAAGAAACCACAGTGATCCCTGAAGCTACAGTAATCCCAAAACCTCCTGCAGATGAAGGGCTAAAACTGGGTCAGGGCTATGAAAATGGCGCGGGTGCTGGAAAAATTCAAACTGAGCGATATTCGGAGCCAGCGAGGAAGGTGAAGAAATTCAGTTTACCGCCAGCGGTAACACATTTTCTGCAGAGGAAGGATAGTGGGAACGGTAGGGGAATTTTTAACTTTGAAAAAAAAAGATAAAAATTTTTTTTTTAATTCTCATTTTCAGCTCTAATCCAACCAAACACTCCGAACTCAAACACAGCTTCACCTGGACCATCTTCTTCGGATGGAGACGATCATATGGATACCCCGTTAGATATGCAGGTTCAGTCAAGTACGGTACCATCCACGCCGACTGCTGGAGGAGGATCCAATTTATTCACTCAATGTGAGTAAATTCCGAAAAAAAATACCAAAAATTCAAAAATTCACAAAAAATTTAGTAGTTTTTTTTTTAATTTTTGAAGTTAAAAAATCGAAAATTAGACAAAAAATTACCCTACAAACCGAAAATTCTCGAAAAATTGAGCTTAAATGAGGTTTTGAGATCGTTTAGTAGATTTTCGCATACTTGGCGCAGTGGGTTTTCCAGTTACCGATCTGGACACCAAAGTTCGATTCCTCACAGGTTCAATTTCTTTTGCTTTTTGTACCCACCCGAAAAATGCAAAAATCCGGATAAACAGACACACAGAAGGCCATTTGTTTTAAGTTTTTGAACATTTTTTGGATTTTGAGATTTTTCGAAAAAATCAAAAATTTCAGAATCTAGTCGTGTTTAGGCTTATTTTAAAGCTCTTGATTTTGAGAAGTTGAAAAAACAAGTTTCACAAGAATTGGGCGAATACTAATTGAGTTACGGTCGTTTTACTAAAACAGCTAGAGAGCAGGAAAAGCGAGACACACTGCGTCTCTAACTTTTCGAAGTTTTTGGGTTTTAACACCTGGAAATTAGAAATTAACAGGTCAAGTGCACCAAAATGAGCCTAAACACGGCTATTTTTGGTCGATTTCGAATTTTGACCTCCAACCGCTACGCGACCGCAGCGCAATGGCTAAAAATGAAAATATCCCGAACTTAGTTGTGCTTAAGCTCATTTTAAAGCTCTTCTCATGCCGAACTTGAAAAAACAAGTAACACAAAAATTGGACCAAATTGGACCAAGTTATGATCATTTTACTAAAAAAACTAGTGCGCGAGAGAAGCGAGATACACTGCGTCTCTGCTCCCCAAACTCAAAGTGGGCGGAGTCTAGTCGTGTAAGGGCTCATTTTGAAGCGCTTGACAAAACTCAATGAAAAATACATTTTCTGTAGAATTTCAACTTCAGAATTTCAGAACTGATAGAGATACGGTAGCTTTAATTGAAAAGAAGTTTGAAAAAAATCAGCTTAAAGCTCAAAAACCCAATTTTCAGCCATGATGGATATGCTGAAACACAACGCCGCCCATTCAACCGGCTCACCTGGTTTCCTTCGCGGCCGAGGCCGCGGTCGACCAAAGTTAATTGGAGATGAGCTAGACGCAGATCTAGTGGACTATATGGTCACTCTAAAGAATGCCGATCCCCATAAAGGCAACTTCACAGCCTCCCAAGCTCTTCATATGGCACGCCAATATATTTTGGAGAGAGCTCCAGGTCTTCTAGAAGAGCACGGTGGACATGTGAAGCTGAAGTTGACGTGGGCAATGAAACTGGTCTCCAGAATCGGTGAACGACAGAAAGAAATCGAGCTGGGTCTGCCGGCTGGAACACTTTCAAATATGGGACGAAATTTGACGAATCTGCCGACTGGTGGCAATTTTATGGCTGATATTATGGCTCAGAATTTGTTTTCACAGCAATTGATGATGGGAAACTTGTTGGGAGGCGGAAGTCCAAAACAGAATGAGGAGAATATTCATGTGAAGAAGGAGAAAGAAGGTGAGGGATTCGTTGTAAAAGTTATATGCCTTTAAAGTTGGTGCGTGCTCAAAAAGGGAGCGGGAGTAGAGGCGCCAACTTCAAAGGTGCATATCTCGAAAACTGAAAAAGTTATCAAAAAGTTGAAAACTTACAAAATATGCGAAATTTCCCGTTTTATATTTTATTAGTTAGCAACTTCTTAATAGCTGTTTTAGTTTTCGAGGTATGGGCCTTTAAAGTTGGTGCGTGCGTTTTTCATGCGCCTCTTCCCCGCTCCATTCTGATGCGCGGGAAGACAAATGGCTGGCGCCAACTTTAAAGGCGCATACCTCAAAATCTACTGCAGCTATCAAAACGTTGTCAACTGATAGAATATGTGATTTTTTACGATTTATAATTCATTAATGGATAACTCTCTAATAACTCCTATGGTTTTTGAGATATGCGTCTTCAAAGTTGACTAACTTTTCTGTGGTGCCGCGGCATAGGTCTGCGTCTCTTTAAAGGCGCTTATCTCAAAAACCGTTAACGTTATTAACAAATACTTAATTACCAAAATATAAACCTTGAAATTTTACATATTCTTTTAATTAACAGCTTTTTGATAACTTTTCTAGTTTTTGAGATATGCGCCTTTGAAGTCGCGCATACTCCATGCGTCTCTCCCCTTCTCTCCCCTGCGCGCGTCACCTTTAAAGGCGCATAACTCCAAAACTACTGTAGCTATCAAAAAGCAATCAATTTACAAACTATTCAAAAAGTTGTTATTTTCATTTTTCTAATTGATTACTTTTTAATAGCTTTTTTAGTTCTTGAGATATGCGCCTTTAAAGTTGACTAACTTTTCCGTGGCGCCGCATAGGTCTGCGTCTCTTTAAAGGCGAATACCTCAAAAACTACTGTAGCTATCAAAATTCTGTCAACGAAAAAAATGGAATTCATAAAATTATCTATTCAAAACTTTAAATTTTCCGCCATTTCCAGTCACCCAAATGCCTGAAATTGTGAATATCAAAGAACTCGCATTCATCAACAACTTCCTCGCCGAACTCAATGACAACAATGGAGAAGCTGGACCATCAGCGGCTCTTTTTGCTCCAAAATCTTAATTATTTTTTTCTTAATTACCTTGAATCATCTCAAAAAGCACAAAAACCCGAATACATGGGTATTTTTCGACTTATTTTTGACCCTATGTACCATTTTAGGTATCTTTTTTCTTTTGTCGCTGAAAATCTCAAATTACAGTTTCCCTTTTGTTGGAAAGTCAATAAAAATATTTATTCCACCGTAACCATATCATTTCTAGCAAATTCTACAGTATTCCAAATTTCAAAAATCGCTTTTTCATAATTTTTGGCTCCAGAAGTTCCAGTTGACGACATCTGAATCGTCGTCGTTTGCAAATTTTGAGATTTGAGTTTTTTGAAAAAATAAATCGAAAAAATGCCAATTGCCAAGTGATAAGTGGGAATCATCTGGAATTGAAAAAATCAATTTTCTGAAAAAAGTCAAAGGATTACTGTAGAAGAGAATGTGCGAATCCCGAATAAGTTATAGGGGTCGGAAACTATTAAATTCCCAAAATATCGAAAAAATACGACTAGAAAAACATAAATTCCGAATAAAATGATATGAACAAAAATTACAAAAATTGAGAATTTCGTTGATTGATAAACTTCTTCTAATTGATATTTTACTGATAATGAAGCATTGGAAAGTGCCTTTTTTAATTGAAAATTTCGAAAAATTAAACGAAAATTCAAAAGAATATCAAAGATATTTAGGATGAAAAGAATTGTGTAGAATGTGAACATCTGGAAAATTTGTATTTAAGGTTTTGTTAGATTTTTGAAAGCTTTGAAAACTAAAGAATCGGAGATTCTGAATTTCAGGGATTCAGAAAATCGGAAGTTATGGATTTCTGAAATTCCAAACTTTTCGAATTTTCGCAAATAAATAAAATTCTGAAATTTCTCCTCAAAAAATCCGGCCCACTTGCAACTACTCAAAAAATCCCCTTGCAACTATGCAACTATGTTCAGAAGTCCCCAGAAGTTAGATGCTCGACCGTAATTCGATTAGTCAAAGTTTTGGTTTTTTAAACATTTTGGGTTTTCAGAAAAAATAGAGATCTTTTAGAAACTTCTTTTAGAAACTTCTAAAATTCTGAAATTCTAAAAACTTTTTGAGCGGCATCCGGTGGATTGACTGAAAATGAAACTGATGGTTCCGAAAACTCCTCATCTTGGAAAATATTGAATACAATACAGAAATTGATAATGATCTGAAATTTTCGAAACTCCGAAATTTTTTTTTTTGAAAAAAATTGAAATCTAGGTCATGACCTAAATATTGGAATCCAGGTCATTCCATAAAAATTGGAATCTAGACCATGACCTAAAAATTGAAGTCTAGGCCATGACCTAAAAATTGAAATCTAGGTCATGACCTATATTTTTTTTGCGTAAATTGACCTAGATATGCTCTTTGAAACAAAACCGCATTGTGTAACAAAAAACACCCGTTTGTGTATTTTCTTTATTTCCTTTTTTCATGTTTTTTACATGGTTTTAAAGAGCCTGAATCCAAAATTCACATTTATTCTGCTCAAAATTTGTTTTCCAAAAAAAAAATGCTCAAATTTTCCTAAAGTTTGGTACAGTACTCGATATCCGACAGACCTATAATATAATCTAGCCAGTCGAGCCATTGGAGATGAATTTTTTAAAACTTACATTGACATTAACTAATAATGGACCCAAAATAACTATAAATTGCTCATATTTTTCCAAAAATTTTATAGCAAAATAACGTTCAAAAGTGATAAAAAATGGGAAAGAAGTTGATAAAGTGATAAGAAACGAGATAGTTGATAAGAGGATTTTGTGATAAAATGGAGGGACCAGGAGATCACAGTTGGTATGAGCAATGAATGGATTCAGTGATTGGATTGTCTGCAAAAATGAAATTTTCTGAATTTTCCTCACCGCAGTAACCGTATAAAAAATGGAAAAAAGAATCAAAGAAACAAAATATCCAACAAAAATCGCTTTCAAGTTCCCATGAAAACTCGATGGCCATAACTTGAAAATCAAAAAATATGCCAATGGAAAAGTCGATAATCCAGAAACTAGGATTTGATAAAAACTGGAAGTTCGAAAGATTGGATTGTAGGCTTGCAGAAATTGAGTTGTACAATTTTCAGCCATTTTCAGACAAAATCTGAAAATTTCTGAATTTCTGAACTTCTAGAAATTTTCTAGACATTCTGAGGAGGGGGTGGGGGTCGTAAATTTGCTGACGTAGGTTTCGAATTCTTGGAAATCGGAAATTTAAAGGAAATTGAAGAAAACAATTTATGGGTTTTGATATTTTTGTACACTCCCCAGAAAACATAAATCTTCCTTTTTTTTAGGTGCCTAATGAAAATAAGCGTTGCCTTATAAACTGAAAAAGCTAGAGAAAAGGTGACTTTAATGGCGCATATCTCAATTACCGCATTAGCTATAAAAAACATTTGGACTACAAAATTGTAGAACTTTAAAAGTTACACATTTTTGTAATTCACTACTTTTTAGTAGGTTTTTTAGTTTTTGAGATATGCGCCTTCAAATTTGGCGCGCGACGTTTCTGTCTGTGCCCTCGCTCGCCCTTTTTGGGCATGCCTACTTTAAAGGCGCATATCTCAAAAAATAAAAAAGCTATCAAAATGATGCCAACAAATAAAATATATAAATTTTAATGCTTTATAATTTTTCAGTTTACAGTTATTCGATAACTCAAGCCGTTTTTTAGATATGCTTTTTCAAAGTTAGCGCGCCAATTTCAACACCAAGGCCACAAGAGAGACGCAGACAACAAGAGTATCTAGCTTCTCTGCGTCCCCTCACCCAAAGAATTGGCTCAATACAGTACATTGATTTAGATAAACTTCCCACGTTTTCCAAATTTCAGCAAATATTACAACATCATTAAAATTATTCCAACCAAATTCCTGGGAACTTTTTTAGTGAAAAAGATGAGAATTGGTACGGTATCTCCTTCAATTCTACTCCTTGTTTGTCTTTGTCTAAAGAATTCTTTCGGCATAGCGGACTATCAGAGAATGATGCCGAAAGGTGAGACAGGTAAAGAAATTAGACAATATCTCGGAAACTAGAAAAAGCTAGGAAAAGTGTTAAAATATAAAAATTCAAAACTCAACAAACTGCACATTCTGGTAGTTAACTACTTTTTGAGAGCTTTTTTAGTTTTTGAAATAAGCGCCTTCAAAGTTGGCGCGTCTAGAGACGCAGAGAAGCTAGACAAACTCGCTTCTCTGCGTCTCTCGCAAAAAAAGTCAGATTACTTATAATTATTTCAGAGTCTACCGCTACAATAATCGAGACTACAGAATCCCCGCCCACTGTACCTGTCACAAAAAAGGAGACTACTGTAGTTCCTACCACCCAAAGAATCGAAACCACTACAACTTTGAATCCAAATATTCGACTTATCGATGAAGCACAAAGGAACGCCTTTTTGGCTAGTAGCAACAATCATCGGGATGTTCATTTGGCTGGAAGATTCGCGTTTGTTTGGGTAAGGAGACGACGCAGAGAAACTAAAGAATCTCGTTGTCTGCGTCTCTCTTGTGGCTTTGTCGTCAAATTTAGCGCGCCCGCTTTAAAGGCGCATATCTCGCAAACTAGGAGAGCTATCCAAAAGTTGTCAACTAATAAAATGTGAGAAGTATTTGGCGTTACAGTTTTATAGTTATCAACTTTTTGATAACTCAAGCCGTTCATGAGATATGCGCCTTTAAACTTGACGCGCGTATTTTCCCTGCATCCGCTTCCTTCTCTTGCGCAAACTTTAAAGGCGCATAATTGAAAAGCTAAAAAAGTTACCGAAAAATGACCAATTACAAAAATGTGTGAATATTTGTGCTCTACATTTTTGTAGTTGACACTGTTTTGATAACTATCACAGCTTTTTAGTTATAGACGCTTGAAATTTTGCAGTCTTGGGACCCCACTCTAGTCGAATCAGCGACCGATAGAATTGCAAATGAATGTGACCCGAAAATCGATAATTCTGATGAACTTGAAGAGATGAAGTTAACTTATGAGGATTTCCGGAATATTAGAAGAGATAGTGAGTTTTAGGTGCAATTTTTTCTTCAAAAAATTTCTGGCAATTTTCAGAAAAAACGTTGCACCCAAAAATGATGCAAGTCTACTATCAAATTGGAATCGCTCGAGTTGGATGTGCTGGAAGAGTGAATTGTAAAAACGGGACCACCACTGAAGAGGATACCTTCTATTTTTGCCATTTTGCTCCGAGGTATTACTGTAGATTTTCAAAAAATTCAGAAAGTCAAAAACTTCAATTTCTCGCCAAAGCAATCCTTTATACTTTTTAGCAACATCACCGCTGATGCGAGTTTTTCGACTGGATTAAATGACAAATGCGAAAAACATGCAATGTATTCAAATTTATGTTTGGATGTCCCAGAAAAGCCAGCAGAATATGTGACGTCTCTTCCTGTCAGAATTGTCTACATAAAGAAATCGACGTCTTCTGAATTTAGAATCCTTTCCTTGATGATTTCTATGATATCCATTGGAATTTTTTCCTAAATCAGCAATTTAAATGGCTGAATTTGTAAAGGATTAATTAGTGAATAAAGATGAATTTTAAAGTTCCAAAAATTTTATTTTTTTTTTCGAATTTTCAAAAGTTTTCGAAATTTGAAATTTCTTGAAAACTGGTCTTGTTTATAGTTATTTTGAAGCTCTTGAGCAGTCAATTGAGAATTTTTTATTTCCACAGTGTTTGCTCAAAAACTAACAAAGTTATAGCCATTTTCCTGCCAGAGTGCCAGAGAAGCGAGACACTCTGCATCTCTAACCTCAAAACTCAAAGTGGGCGGAGCCTAGTCGTGTTTAGGCTTATTTCGAAGCACAGAATGCTCTAAATCTGAATTGAGCATTCTTAATCAATAAAAAACTCACTCTTGACCGTTGTTGCCGTATGCAGACTCGCTGCTTGGAATTCCATTAATTATCGCGGGTTATCAAGATAATCAAGAATTTCCAGAACAGCGAAATTCTTTGGTAGTTTGCAGAAGGCTGAAAAAAAGAGAAAATAATTAAAATTTCTGGCTTTGATGCGTTTAAAGCTTCAAAATGAATGTAAACATGACTAGATGCAGAGTGTCTAGCTTCTGTGGCACTCTAACCTTTTCGGTAAAACGACAGTAACTTGGTCAATTTTGGTTCAATTTCGATGAGATTCGAATATTTGTATTGAGCACAATGAGAGCTTCAAAATGAGCTTAAATACGACTAGACTCCGCCCATTTTGTGTTTTGGGGTCAGTGACGCAGAGTGTCTCGCTTCTCTAGCACTCTAGCATTTTCAAATTATCGACTGTAACTTGGTTAGTTTTCGATCAAACTTCATGAAATGAAAAATGGTAAATTTAGAATTCCACGAGCTTCTACATGAGTATTAACATGACATATTTTTGGTGGATTTGATTTTTTCGAAAATTTTTGAAAAATCCGATTTTTGAATTCTCGTCATGTTTGTATTTATTTAAAAGTTCTTTAAATGATGATTCCGATAACTTTAATTTTGTGCAATTTGCTGAGAAACTAACAGAATTGCAGCCATTCACTGAAAAGGTTGGAGTGCCAGAGAAACGAGACACTCTGCGTTTCTAACCTCCCAACTCAAAGTGGGCGGAGCCTAGTCAAGTTTGGGCTCATTTTGAAGGTACTCTTAAGCCGATTTCCAAAATACAGTTTTTGAATAAATCCGACTGAAAATGAAAAAGTTATGGTAGTTTCAATTTTTCTGTCCTAGACTATAATCTTGTCTAAAAATTTCCGGTCATAAATGTGTGTTTCTAGACTTTTCAAGAGCGTCACAATTTTTTGGTCTGACTGGAGTTTGATGAGAAAATAGAATCAAAATTTATTAAAAATGAACATTTTGTTTAGTAGGACAATGATTACTTTTCAACCAGTTTTTTTAACTACAACAAGTTAAAACAAAACAGAATATTCCAGAAAAATTATGCAAAATTCTCGGCGACCTCAATTCGAATTTCATCCTCCTCAGAATTTGGCGCCGAATTCAAATTCCCGCCATTATCCAGTGCGGCCAAATCGACGCCTTTTGTGTCGGGAAGGAAAAAACAAGAGACTAAAAGTGAAATAATGCCAATTGAGCATACAATTGCATATGGAATTGGACGATAGATATCGGATAGATATGCCATTTGTGGTGCCAAAAGAGCACCAGTTCGAGCCAACAGAGAGCATGTTCCAATGCCTGAAAAGGATTACTGTAGATTTGGCAAGATACAGTAATCCAAAAGGTTTGGATCACAAAAAACTAGAATGAAATTAGTTGAGTGTGAGCAAAGTTATGATGGTTTTAAGGTTTTGGGGTAGTTGGGGAATGCGAGGTAAAGTAATCCTACAGTAAGTCAGGTACAGTACCAAAGCAATTTTGGTTACTAAATAAGGTTACTGTGGTTTGGGGTGCGGTGATCCTAAAAGTACAGTAATCTAGTTAGCAAAATTATGATGGTTTCAAGGATAAGTAGAGGGGTTACAGTAATCTTATAGTAATCCTACCGTAATTTAGGTACAGTACCAGAGCACTCAGGGTTACTGAATGAGGTTGCTGCAGTTTGTGGAACAATAATCTAAAAAAGTACAGTAAGCTAGCTACAGTAGGAGCAAAGTTATGACCGATTTGATTGTAAGGTTCTGGTCCATGAAAGTACAGTGGATTACTGTAGTTTCGATGGTAATCTACAGTAATCTAACTCACCAATCGTTCGTATTCTCGTTGGAAAAATTTCAGCGGCGACCAGATAACAAGCGTCCCAAGTGAGCTCAATGAATGATGCTCCAATGATGTTAATGATGATTACTGTAAGTGGGTTACTGTAGCATTTGGTCATTTTTTTCCCAGAAAATGTTCAAAATGGTGAGAATGTTCGGAAGGGATTAATCTGGACTTTGAGCCGAGTTATGAGCACTCAAAGTTGGTGGCCTAGGATACCGAAATTTCAGAAACTCGGTCAATTTGTATACTGTTTGGCATGACTTGAGCAGCCGGTGGCCTAGAAAACCAAGTTTTCGAGAAAGTTAGGCCATCAAAAGTTAAGTAAATCAAATATACGTAACATGGCGTGAGAAATCGATTGGTGTGCTCGAAATACGCGTTTCTTGAGTTTGAGCCGAGTTATGAGCAATTAAAGTTGATGGCCTAGAAAACCAAACATTTGGGAAACTCGGCCAAGTTGTGTATGGAAATGTTTGCCATGACTTCGGCAGTTCTATGGTAATTTTAAAATTCGATTAGCCCTTCTTTGAAGCAAGTTATGCACCGTTAAAGTTGGTGGCCTAGGAATCCAAGTTTTCGAGAAAGTTAGGCCACCAAAAATTAAATAACTGAAAAATACGTAAAATAATGTGAAAAATCGATTGGTGTGCACGAAATACGCGTTTCTTGAGTTTGAGCCGAGTTATGAGCAATTAAAGTTGATGGCCTAGAAAACCAAATTTTTGAGAAAGCTAGGCCACTAAAGTTAAGTAACACTAAAATGTGTAAAATGATGTGAGAAAGCGATTGATGTGCTTGAAAAATGCGTATCTTGAGTTTGAGCCGCTAGAACTGTTTGAAGTTGGTGGTGACCTAGAATTGTCGGATTCTAGGCCACCAAGTTTTGTTTTGCATATCCTTCATTTTTTGAGCTTTTTTTTCCATATTTTTTATCATTTTTTAAACTCACTAGCCAAATTCCTAGATCCCTGAGATGAGCAATCCTGATCCGGCGATATCATAAGTACCATAATAGCCGAATAGCAGCAAATCATTATAATTTGAGGGATTTGATGAAGCTTTTGTCGATTAAAACTCGGCAAATATGTGTCCAGCAAGAAGATTGACTGGAAAAAATTTCAGATTTTTTTTTGAATTTTTTTTTCTCAAAACTTACAATTTTCGATAAAGCAATCGCTGCAGCTGACACAAACTGGCTCAAATAGAAGTTTCCAGCCAAATTTCCAGAGTTTAAGTCGGCACCGAATGAGGAGACGCTGAAATTTTTTCAAAGGTGGCCTAGGATTTTTCCAGGCCACGGTTACACATACCTCGTAGAAAACCAAAGTGAGCCTATGACAATGGTACTGTAGGCAATTGGCCAAGAAGAGAACAAGTCTCGAATTGTGTAGATTTTTGTGTCTTTTTCCAGACTTTCAGATTTTTCAGATTCTTCCAAAATTTTCAGATCCGCGTCATACGGTAGTCCAGACAGCCAGGCGACACGTTTTTCGGCACTTTTCATTTCCCGAAATCGTTTTTTTGTGGCGTACCTGAAATGGTGGCCTAACTTTTTCACCGTGGCCTAGGATTTTTTACCATTTTGGAGATTCTGGAAGAATCAGAAGCATTGGGAGGACTGGAACGGCTAGAAGAGAGGTCACAATTGCGGTGGCTCGCCAATTTTCACAAAGAAAACAGGCCAGCGTGAAGACGAGGCGAGCATAACCCTGGAAGAGGATTTTTGATGGCGGCCTAGAAATCCAAGTTTTTGAAAAGTTAGGCCATCAAAACTTAAGTTAGATAAAAATAGGTAAAATAAGATGAGAAATCGATTGGTGTGCTTGAAATTAATCTAGCTCAATTTTAAGCCGAGTTATGAGCCGTTAAAGTTGGTGGCCTAGAAAACCAAACTCTTTGAAAATTCGGCCAACTTTCATACCAAAATGTGTAAAATTTCATAGGGATTGTGATGATATTTTAATAATTTGAACAACTCAATTTTAAACCAAGTTGTGAGAGAATGAGCATGGTGGCCTAGAAAACCGAAATTTTGGAAAGTTAGACCATCAAAATTTAATTAACACACAAATACGTAAAATAAGATAATAAATCAATTGATGTGCTTGAAATAGACGTATCTCAATTTTAAGCCGAGTTGTGAGTAGTTAAAATTGGTGGCCTAGAAAACCGAAATTTTGAAAATTCGGCCACATTTTATATGAAAATGTTCGAATTACTTAGAGAAGTCCAATACAAATTTCAGAATCCAAAATTCTCTACTCTGAAGCAAGTTATGAGCCATTGCACATGGTGGCCTAGAAAACCAAATTTTCGAAAACTCGGCCAAGTTGTATATGGAAATGTTTGACATGACTTTTGAAGTCCAATGGTAGTTTCAAAATGCAATAAATTATTCCTTTGAAGCAAGTTACGAGCCGTTAAACATGGTGGCCTAGAATTGTCGGATTCTAGGCCATCGAAAAAACTTTAAAAATTCAAAAAAAAAAAAAACTACTCACCCAATTAAAAAACGATCGCATAAAAACTCTTTGCTGTGGTTCGATGAATTCCAAAATGTATGCATAAAAAACGACCATAATACAAGCAACCGAGGTGCCGCAGATGAATAGAGCAATTGCGAAAAGTTTCCAATTTGGCGCGAAACCTGGAAATTTTGAAAGTTTAGAATTTTCGGTTTTTTTCTTATTCACTATTTTTATTTTCGCCACCTCTCCCCTCGGCAAGACGCAGAGAGCGCGAGAAAGGCGGTGTTTTATAACAGCCACCACCCTCTCCTCTCCTTCAGTGATCAGGTGGCCGAGTGGTTAAGGCGATGGACTGCTAATCCATTGGGATTTTCCCGCGTGAGTTCGAATCTCATCCTGATCGAATCTCTTTTTGCGTCTTTTCACAACTTGCTAATGGGTTTTAATAGGGTCTGGGACCATTTTTAGTCATTTTTTGCCTACCTGCCGCCACTCCGAACACAATTCCAATGGAAATTCCAATAAAAGAGACAGGTTTTCTTCCAAAATAGTCTCCCAAATGTCCATAAATCACTGCTCCGACTAGTGCTCCAATAAATTGAATAGTGGCGACCCATGCAGAATCATAAGCAGCCGATCCACAATACATTTTGAAGTCTTGAACCATTGAACGAAACGGGGCTGGTTCGATAAGCCATTTCGAGCAATTTGCAATTAGTTCTGAGCATATTTCAACCCTAAAGGAAATATTTAATGATAGTTTCTGTATGTCTGTTTGTCGCGATGTCCTCTTACTTTGAAAGTTTACATTTGGGCTTTGAGAAGTGGAAATTAGGGTCTTGGCAGGATAAGGAGGGATGGAAATTGTAGAAAATCTAAATTGTTCGAAAATTGAAAATTTCAGAAATTCAGAAATTCAGAAATTCAGAAATTCAGAAATTCAGAAATTCAGAAATTCAGAAATTCAGAAATTCAGAAATTCAGAAATTCAGAAATTCAGAAATTTAGAAATTCAGAAATTCAGACATTCAGAAATTCAGAAATTCAGAAATAAAATTCTAAAATTCTAAAATTCTAAAATTCTAAAATTCTAAAATTCTAAAATTCTAAAATTCTAAAATTCTAAAATTCTAAAATTCTAAAATTCTAAAATTCTAAAATTCTAAAATTCTAAAATTTTAAAATTTTAAAATTCTAAAATTCTAAAATTCTAAAATTCTAAAATTCTAAAATTCTTACCGGAAAAATCAGCTGACACGCATAGAACAGTCCAAACTGCCATAGTATCATACACAGTACATGAAAACGGTTCAAATTCAAAAATGCCATGAAAATCTGAAATTTCAGAAAAAAAAATTTCAGAATTTTTTTTTGGTTATCACCTAAAAAAAATCAAAAAATGACAAATTTTCTTCTCCAAATCAAATTAGGCTTATCAGTTTCAATTTTCAGGCCCGGTTTAGGTCGTCCTCTCGGAGATTAAAAGAATTAAAAAATCAAGAATTTTCCTGAAAATTTCGTCAGATGACGAAAAAATAGTTACCGGATTTAGAGGCTAGAGTGTAATTTCGATCTGCGTGGCCGAAGGTTTTCTAGGCCACCAGGCTCAAAGATGGCCTAGAAATCTTAATTTTGTATTTCTAGGCTAATAGTGATAACTTATCACAACATTTAAATAGTTTGTTACCATTTTTTTCACATTCAGAGTTTGTGACTCGTTGCCAAACTTTTTGGGTTTCCTAGGCCATTACCTCCAGTTGCTCATAACTCGGCTTGAACTTGAGATACGTCTATTTCAAGCAATTCAATCGATTTCTCATCTCATTTTACGTATTTTTGTGTTATTTAACTTTTAGTGGCCTAGTTTTCTCAAAAATGTGGTTTTCTAGGCCACCAACTTCAACGGCTCATAACTTGCTTCAAAAAAGGAGTAATCAAAATTCAAAACAATCGTTGGTGTTGCAAAAATCATGCCAAATGTTTTCATATACAATTTGACCGAGTTTCTCAAAAATTTGGTTTTCTAGGCCACCAACTTCAATCGCTCATAACTCGCCTCAAAATTGAGATTTTTGGATTCTGAAAAATGTAAAATAATCAAAATTTATTTTCAAACAACTACATAACTTATATACATTGAAATAATAATTATGCATCCTCCCCAATAGTTGCTCGCGGAGCCACCGTAACTGCTCCAGTTAGTCTTCTCTGAATCCCAATATTCTCCGTTACACTTTTCCTTCGATTATAATCCAATTCTACAGTAGGATCCAATGCGGCCAAATCGACACCTTTCGTGTCGGGGAGAAAGAAACAAGAGATCAAAAGTGAAAAAATGCCAATTGAGCACACAATTGCATATGGAATTGGACGATAGATATCGGATAAGTATGCCATTTGTGGTGCCAAAAGAGCACCAGTTCGAGCCAACAGAGAGCATGTTCCAATGCCTGAAAAGGATTACTGTAGATTTGAAGAGATACAGTAATCCAAAAGGTTTGGATCACAAAAAACTAGAATGAAATTGGTTGCGTTTGAGCAAAGTTTTGATGGTTTTAAGGATTTGGAAAGCGAGGTACAGTAATCTAGCTACAGAAGAGCCAAGACAATTAAGATTACTGTGAATTCAAGTAAAAGGTACAGTAGTTCACAACAATCTCAAAAGCGTTAAGTAAGGTTACTGTAGTTTAAGTTATGGTAATCCCAAAAAGTACTGTAAGCTAGCTAGACTAGGAGTAGAGTAATAGTTCCTTTAATTGTAAGATTCGGGTTCATGAAACTACAGTAATCTATTTGGAACAGGTTACTGATTGTAGACAATTCAGTAGTCCAAATGACTGTATTTTGAATTATCTAGAATTTTTGAAAATTCCATTTCCAGATATTTTTTTTGGGAAAGTCCTGATATTTTGAAAATCGTTCTTTAACATTCTTGACTTTTTTGAACTACAGTAACCGAGGAATATTGTAGGTACAGTAATCTAAACTATATCAGTTACATTTTGATATGTTTCAAACTACAGTAACCCAGGAATACTATATTCTCCAACTACTGTAATCCTCCAAGTACTCACCAATTGTCCGAATTTTCGTTGGAAAACACTCCACGGCTACCAGATAACAAGCATCCCAAGTGATCTCGATGAACGAGACGCCAATGATATTGATGATGATTACTGTAATCGGGTCATGCTATTTTTTAGTTTTAAGTGACTCAAAATGGCTAAATCTTAGCCCAGACTGCTCTACACAAAAAGAAAAAAGATTTAGTTCGACCCGGACTCGAACCAAACCGCTTTCTTCTATTAGTCTAGCCACTTCACCACTCGGCTACACGTGCGCTGGGAGGCGACCGCCCTCAAACTTGTATACAAGTCGACAGGAGCTCGCAAAGGGAAAGGCGCTCGTTCATATACGGCTTGCCGACCAGAAACGCATTGTGATCAGGTGGCCGAGTGGTTAAGGCGATGGACTGCTAATCCATTGGGATTTTCCCGCGTGAGTTCGAATCTCATCCTGATCGAATTTCTTTTTGCTTCTTTTTAGAGCATGCTAATGGGTTTTAAAATAGTCTCGGATCATTTTTATTGCCTTACTCGCCAAATCCCTCGATCCTTGACTATTGCAATCAGATTCTGGAAGTATCATAAGTGCCATAATTGCAGCGTAACAAATAATCATAGCAATTTGTGGATACTGATGAAGGCGTCGACGATCGAACGATGGGACGTAGGTGTCCAGGAGGAACACGAACTGGAAAATTTCAAATTTGGCGCCAAATGTTGAACTTTCAAAACTCACAATCTTCGCAAACGCTGTGACTCCACCGGACACAAACTGACTCAAATAGAAATTTCCAGCCAGGTTTCCAGAATTCAAATCGGATCCAAACGCGGATAAGCTGGAAGAAAATTGATGGCCTAGGTTTTTTTCTAGGACACGGGCACGCCCTTACCTCGTAGAAAACCAAAGTGAGCCTACTACAATGGTACGGTAGGCTATCGGCCAAGAAGTGAACAAATCTCGCATTGTGTAGATTTTTGTGTCTTTTTCAGATTTTTCAGAATTTTCAAATTCCAGAATTTTCTCATCCGTGTCATACGGTATTCCTGACAGCCAGGCGACACGTTTTTCGGCATTTTTCATCTCACGGAATCGTTTTTTTGTGGCGTACCTTTAAAAAAATTAATAGCGGCCTAACTTTTTCACCGTGGCCCAGAATTTGAAGAATGCTTTACCATTTCGGAGATTCGGGAAGAATCAAAAGGATCGGGAGAATAGGAAGGGATAGTAGAGACGTGACAATCGCAGCAGATCTCCAATAACCACAAATGAAACAGGCCAGGGTGAAGACGAGACGAGCGTAACCCTGGAAGAGAATTTTTGGGTGGACTAGGAGAAAGTTAGGCCAACGAATTTTGTTTCAAAATGTGTAAAATTTTATAAGGAACAGAATGGTGTTTTTAAATTTTGAAAAGCTCAATTTTAAGCCGAGTTATGTTCATTTAAAGTTGATGGCCTAGAAAAACAAATTTTCAGGGAACTCGGCCAAGTGTTATATCTCAATGATCGGCATAACTTTTTCAGTTCAACAATGCTTTCGAAATTCGTCTACCTTAATTCCAAGTTATGACGGTTTGAACATGGTGGCCTAGAAAACCAAAACTCGGCCACCAAAAGTTAAGCAACAAAAAACACGTAAAATCACTTGAGAAACCCATTAATGGCTTTGAAAATGTTGTAGCTAACTATTGGACCAAGTTATGAGAATTTCGACTTTTTGGCCAAAAAATTGAAACTCACCCAATTAAAAAACGATCTCAAAAACACTCTTTGCTCGGGTTCGATGAATTCCAGAATATACGCATAGAAAACGATTAGAATGGAGGCTATAGAGGTTCCAACGATGAATCGAAAAGCGGCGAAAACTTGCCAAGTAGGCGCGAAACCTGCAAATTTGCTGATTTTTTGACCTGAAATCTGGCTAGGACCATTTTCAGATTGATTTCCATGCACTATACAAAATGCAAAAGAAAACTAGCCACCCCTGGAATCGAACCCAACCCCTTTCTCCTACTAGTCCAGCGGCTACGCGTGCGCTAGTCGACGGGCGCCCTCCAACTTGTATACAAGTCGGAAGGAGCTCGCAAAGGGAGAAGGCGCCCGTTCATATACGGTGTGCCGACCACTTAAGGATTGTGATTAGGTGGCCGAGTGGCTAAGGCGATGGACTGCTAATCCATTGGGATTTTCCTGCGTGAGTTCGAATCTCGTTTTGCTGCTTTTTACGCCATTTTAAATAAGTCCTAGCATACCTGAAGCCACTCCAAACGTAATTCCAATAGATATCCCAACAAAAGAGACGGGTTTTCTTCCAAAATGATCTCCCAAATGACCATAAGTAATTGCACCAATTAGTACACCAATGAATTGAATAGTGGCGACCCATGCAGAATCATAAGCAGCCGATCCACAGTACATTTCGAAATCCTGGACCATTGAACGAAACGGGGCCGGTTCGATAAGCCATTTGGAGCAATTTGCAATTAGTTCTGAGCATATTTCAACCCTAAAGGAAATCTTTAATGATATTTTCTGTGTGTATGTATATCTAGATGTCCTCTTACTTTGAAAGTTTACATTTGGGCTTTGAGAAGTGGAAATTAGGGTCTTGGCAGGATAAGGAGGGATTGAAGTTGTAGAAAATCTGAAATTTGGATTTTTTCAAATTTTTAAGTTTTCAAAATTACCGAAAAAATTTGCTGACAACAAAAGAATAAAGCAAATTGCCATAATACGAAACATAGCCAATGAAAACGATTCGTGTTGAGAAATGACATTCTGGAAGTTTCTAGAGTTCCGTTATTTTTTTTGAATTTTAAAATTCTAAAAAATTGGAAAAAGTGGTCTTATTGGAAGTCCAATTACGATTTCTCCAGTGTGCAAACATCAGTTTAAAGAGAAAAAAAGAAGACAATTTTAAGCTTCTTATCAGCTGATAAAACGTGATAAATTAATGAGAGTTATCAGCTGAAAACGGGAGAAAATTGGCAAAATTTTGATTGGAGAGAAAGAAGAACAAAGGAATTTTGGTCAGAAGTTTGTATTGGAGATTTTTCCAAATGTGAAATTTAGGTCATTTTTCAAGAATTTCAACTTAAATTCAGCTGAAAGATGCCCAGCATTTGGAAAAATGAAAAACTAGTCAGAAATTCAGACTTGCCTCATCACGAGCTTCAAAATGAGCACCCACACGACTAGTCTCCGTCTACTTTTAGGGCTAGAGTGCCAGAGAAGCGAGACACACTGCGTCTCTAACCTCAAAACTCAAAGTGGGCGGATTCTAGTCGTGTGGGGGCTCATTTTGGCTCATTTTTAAGCTGGTGATGAGTCGAATTTGAGTAAATAAAGTTTCACTAATTTTTGTTAAAGTTTGCCGAGTTTAAAATTTTTGAAAAAAAATTTTTTCTACAAATTTAAAATTTCTGAAACAATACTTTTTATTTCATTGCTCAAAAAATTGCACTTTTTTCTTATCAAAGTTCAGTCCGACCAAAAAGTAGTGACGCTCTTCAAAAGTTTAGAAAAAAATGATGACTGAACAATTTTGGACAAGATTATAGTCTAGAACAAATAACCTTTAAAACTACCGTAACTTTCAAATTTTTAGTCAGATCTAGTTGAAAAATGTTTTTTGAAATCGGCTTATCAGCAGCTTCAAAATGAGCCCAAACACGACTAGGTTCCATCCACTTTGAGTTTTTCGGCTAGAGGCGTAGAGTGTCTCGCTTCTCTGGCGCTCTAGCCTTTTTCTGTTAGAACAACTGTAACTCGGTCAATTTTTTTTCTGATTTGGAAGGAAATCATATGGTTGAATTCAGCAGGATGAGAGCTTCAAAATGACCATAAATTTGACTATACAATTTGAACTACAGTACTATTTGGATTACTGTACCTTTCCTCCTTTTCTTCACAAATCTTACTTGGGTTGGATTACTGTTCCTAGATTCTGTAAGCCTATCCCACCCTTTGAATCCTTATAACTTCACTCTTACTGTAGCTAGCTTACAGTACTTTTTGGATTACTGTAACTAGATTACTGTAGGATTACTGTCCCTCTAAGTCTATCCCAATTCTTAAACCAACTCTACCAATGTATTTTTTTTTGGGATAATTGCACCTTTTCTCTGAATGTACAGTAATCTTGATTGTCTTGGATTACTGTACCTCGCCTCCTATTCCTTCAAACCATCATAACTTTGCTCAAACTCAATCAATTTCATTCTAGTTTTTGGTGATTCAAATCTTTTGGATTACTGTATCTCTCCAAACCTACAGTAACCTAACTTTAACCAAAAACCAATGAAATTTTTATTGTACAAATGTTTAAAAAAACATATAAATGAGATTCAGAATTTTTTGAGTTCCAAAATTTGAAATTTCAATTAAAGATATTATTTATAATGTCGATGAGGGCGAAATTCTTTGGGAGATCACTGGCGGAGCCTGAAAAAATGAAAAATGAGACAACTTTTTTTTTTTCAAAACAATTTTGGAATTTTCAGTCATTTCGACTTTTCAAAAATAATTTTTCCTTAATAATTTTTCCTCACCTTGGATTACTGTAGTTTTTTGGCAGAATGGACAATCAATTTCCAATTTTTGTTCAGCTTGTTCCAGAATTTGCTCGATACATTTTTCACAAATCGTGTGTCCACATTCTTTGAGAATTCGCGGAGTACGGTAGGTGCTGTAGCCGAGATCACATATTTTGCATTCCAGTCTGAAAATATATCTTTTTTTTTTCTTTTCCAGTTTTCTGCTTTAAAAATGTTCATTTTCAGTCAAGTTACGCCGTTTTTAGAGTTGCTGGCCTAGAAAACCAAAAAGTGAGGATGCTAGGCCACCGTACTCATTAGGATTTTTATGAATAGGATTTGAATTGATTGCTCATCTTAAAACTTTTTTCAGACACTCAAAATTTTGATTTTGAAGCGAGTTATAGCCATTTGTAACCAGTGGCCTAGAAAATGGAAATTCTAGGCCACGGGTTACAAACGGCTGTAACATGCTTCAAAATTGAGATTATTGCAAATTTCGAAAAGTTTTAAAATGAGCAATTTGAACCACATCTATTAGCAAAATTTTTGAATAAATTATGATGGCCTAGTTTCCCCTATTTTTGGTTTTCTAGGCCAAGGGGGACAAATGGTTGTAACTAGCTCAAAAATGAAGATTTTAAAAATTGTCAAAATGTATTTGAATAGGAAAAACCTAATTTTTTGATTTTTAAAAATTCCGGAATTCTTTTCCAGCTTTCTCCTTTGAAAAATATCCATTATCAGCCAAGTTATGACGATTTTAGTGTTGCTGGCCTAGAAAACCACTTTTTTCGAGAGAACTAGGCCACCGATTTTGTTATGGTTTTTTGTTAATAGATTTTGTATTAATTGCTCATTTTAAAACTTTTTTCAGACACTCGAAATTTTGATTTTGAAGCGAGTTATAGCCATTTGTAACCAGTGGCCTAGAAAATGGAAATTCTAGGCCACGGAGTTCAAATGGCTGTAACATGCTTCAAAATTTAGATTTTTCAATTTTTCAAAACGTTTTGAGATGAGCAATCAAACCAAATTCGTTGGATAAACGTTTGAAAAAATGATGATGACCTAGTTGTCCTATTTTTTGGTATTCTAGGCCACGGGTTACAAACGGCTGTAACTTGCTTTAAAATTGAGGTTTTCGAGTTTTTCAAAACGTTTTAGAATGAGCAATTGATACAAAAGATTATCTTATCAACATTTTTTCAAATCGCCATTTGTAACCTGTGGGCTAGAAAATGAAAATCCTAGGCCACGGGTTACAAACGGCTGTAACTTGCTTCAAAATTGAGATTTTTTAAAGTTTCAAAATTTTTAAAGGATGAGCAATTAAAACAAAATTCATCATTGTTTTTAAAAAACTCACTTTAAGTTTCCCGAATTTTCTCCATTTTCCAAATCATTGAATTTTTGCATTTCTTCTCCTTGATTTTCAGTGTTTTCGAATTCATAATTTCCTCGCCAAATCATCAAAAATTCCAGAGTACTGTAGCAAAAAACTGGGGAAAATGCCAATTCACAGACCATAATCATTATCATTTTTTCCGAATCTTTGAGTGAAATTCCATAAATCAAATTGATTATCATAATGACTAATTGGGTAATTAGAAGGGTCCAAAATAGATAATCAGATAAATTAAAAAAGATTTTTAGAGATTTTTTGGCGGGAGAAAGGAAGAAGCAATAGAAAATGATGATTCCAAATGCGCACAGCATTGATACATTGATAGTGATCTGAAATTAAAGAAAACTTGAGAAAAATTTTTTTTTCGAAATTTTGGATTTTCCATAGTTCCTAAAATTCTTTTCCATTTTTTCTCCTTTTAAAAATGTCAATTTTCAGCCAAGTTATGACGATTTTAAAATTGCTGGCCTAGAAAACCAAAAAATGAGAAACCTAGGCCACCGAAACTGTTGACACTTTTTCACCATAGATTTTGTTTAAATTTCTCATCTGAAAACATTTTGAATTTTTGAAAAATCTTCATTCTGAAGAGAGTTACGACCATTTGTAACCGGTGGCCTAGAAAATGAAAATCCTAGGCCACCGGTTACAAATAGGCTGTAAATCGCTTCAAAATCAAGGTTTTTCAAAATTTCAAAATGTTTCAAAATGAGCAATTGACACAAAATCTATTGATAACAAAGTTAATGAAACAAGGATGATCTAGTTTTCCCATTCTTAGCTTTTCAAGGCCACAAGATGCAAATTGGTGTAACTAGCTTCAAAATTGGGATTTTCGAAATTTTCAAAAAAGTTTGAAATGAGCAATTTTCAAATTTTCAAATTTTCTAAAAAAATTTCAAAACTAACCAATAAATCTCCTTTTAGATCTCCGGCCCAAAGCGCTCGAATCCTTGGCAAAAAGCCAAATAAAAGGCATCCAATATATCCGATTCCCAGCCATATTCTCCATTTTCTCTCATTCGTTAAATGACAAAATCCAAATAAAGCGTTGAGAATCTTTTTGAGAATCCAAATGAGCAAAAGTGATGCCAGGAAAACCAAAATATTGAAAATCGGAAATCCGAAGACAAAAACGAACAATCCTTTCTCATTTCGCCATTTCGGACTGTAAAGCATGTCCAAAACTTGGCCAATCGCCAATAAAATAACTAGAGTACTGTAGAAAAATGGAATACATTTTGAAAAATTCGGAAAAATCGAATATTTCGATTTCGACATCTTTTTTCTTTTGCGCGGGTTTCTGAGCAGCTGGGAGCGAAGCGAGGTGTATATATATAAGAGACGGAGAGAGAGAGAGAGAGAGAAGAGACGCAGAGAAAAAGAGAGAGAGAGGGGAAGCATTAGTCATTTGACCAGCCAGGCTAGAGAATTTCTCTCTAGCCTGGTGGTCGAGTTGTCGTCATTTTTGGTGAGAAGAAGGGAAAAAATAAAGATGAGTAATGATCTTTGGGATTTGACATCCGGACACACGGAAAAACAGCCATACATAAAATCCGAAAATTCAAACTGTTCAGAAATTCAGAAATTCAGAAATTCAGAAATTCAGAAATTCAGAACTTCAGAAATTCAGAAATTCAGAAATTCAGAAATTCAGAAATTCAGAAATTCAGGAATTCAGAAATTCAGAAATTCAGAAATTCAGATATTCAGAAATTCAGTAATTCAGATATTCAGAAATTCAGAAATTCGGAAATTCAGAAATTCAGAAATTCAGAAATTCAGAAATTCAGAAATTCAGATATTCAGAAATTCAGAAATTCAGAAATTCAGAAATAAAGAAATTCAGAAATTCAGAAATTCAGAAATTCAGAAATTCAGAAATTCAGAAATTCAGAAATTCAGAAATTCGGAAATTCAGAAATTCAGAAATTCAGAAATTCAGAAATTCAGAAATTCAGAAATTCGGAAATTCAGAGATTCAGAAATTCAGAAATTCAGAAATTCAGAAATTCAGAAATTCAGAAATTCAGAAATTCAGTAATTCAGTAATTCAGATATTCAGAAATTCAGAAATTCGGAAATTCAGAAATTCAGAAATTCAGAAATTCAGAAATTCAGAAATTCAGAAATTCAGAAATTCAGAAATTCAGAAATTCAGAAATTCAGAAATTCAGTAATTCAGTAATTCAGATATTCAGAAATTCAGAAATTCGGAAATTCAGAAATTCAGAAATTCAGAAATTCAGAAATTCAGAAATTCAGAAATTCAGATATTCAGAAATTCAGTAATTCAGATATTCAGAAATTCAGAAATTCGGAAATTCAGAAATTCAGAAATTCGGAAATTCAGAAATTCAGAAATTCAGAAATTCAGTAATTCAGAAATTCAGAAATTCAGAAATAAAGAAATTCCACAATTCAGTAATTCAGAAATTCAGTAATTCAGAAATTCAGAAATTCAGAAATTCAGAAATTCAGAAATTCAGAAATTCAGAAATTTTTTTTAGGATTAGGAAGAGAGCTACAGTATTCCTACAGTAATCTGGGTACAGTAAACTAAGATTACTGTAGATTTAGGAAGAAAAAAAAGAGATTAAAAGTGAAAAAAAAAAGCCAATTGAGCATACAATTGCATATGGAATTCAAAAATATCCTACAAATGTACTTGCTGATATGACAAAATGCAATTATCTATCTGGAAGTTGTCAAATAAAATCAAATGAAATGATGATTTGGGATGTAAATAAAGACCAAAATTGTAAATTTATATCAATTGGAAAATTTGATGGATTTTTGAATGATAATCTCTGGATAAATAATGAAAATCAAATTGCTCTAAACTAGAAAAGAATAAGACAGTTACAGATTGTAATAATTAATTATATTTAAGTTCAGACGAAATATAGCCAATGAAAACGATTCGTGTTGAGAAATGACATTCTGGAAGTTTCTAGAACGTTTTTTTTTGAATTTTAAAATTCTAAAAAATTGGAAAAAGTGGTCTTATTGGAAGTCCAATTACGATTTCTCCGGTGTGCAAACATCAGTTTAAAGAGAAAAAAAGAAGACAATTTTAAGCTTCTTATCAGCTGATAAAACGTGATAAATTAATGAGAGTTATCAATATTTGGAAAATATTTTAGATAATCAATTACGACATACTACAGAAGCTTTATGTACAATTTTCAATGATCACAGCGATATTTTAGAAATGTTAATAAAAGAAAACCCAAGAAAATTTATGCAAAAAGCACTTAATTATTCTGCGATAAAAGTGAAATTAATTCCAAATGCTGATGTTCTCCAAGTAAAGTTTTGTAAAGAAATTGAAGCAAATATGATAGAATATGTTGATTTATCTCATTTTGACGGATACAAGCTTAGCTTGGCGTTAACAAAAGGACAAATTCCAATAAGAATAAAAAAATATGGAGATAAGATTTGGTATTACAAAAATGATATTATTTCAAATAAACTTCAATTAAGTGATCAAAATATTAACCAAATTAAAGGAGATAAAAACATAACAACACTTAAAAATATTAAACACTATAATTTGAAGTTTTTGAATAAGAAAGTAATTTTTAAAGAACATATTCTACTAGGTACAAAAACTAATATTGAAGAAGAATTAATCAATGAAACGCGTCAAAAAGCAGAAGTTGGATTAGAATTAAAAGAACATGAACAAACATCAATGATTCCACATGAAATTATGTCAGAAGTTGAGGACTTTTTTGGAGGATATTATATTTGGATATGGAGAATTTATGTTTCAATAGGTGTAACTGTTTTCTATATTTTTATTATACGAACAATTTGGTTAGTACTTTCCCCAAAATTTTTAGTTGGTCAAAATAAAAGTAAAATGAAAAAAGTTTCACTTTCCGATGTAGCAATTGAACTTTTTCCACTTAATCAAAGAAATAACCTCTTAGAGTCTAGTTCTAGGGGAATCACAACATCTAGGCATTCTATTGTAGTAGACTAAAAATTTATACCAATTAAATAGAAATGAGAATTTTTGATTCAGGAAACAATTCTAATTATGTAATTATTAGTTCAAAAAATAAAGAAAAAGTAGAATTAATTGAAAACAATGATGAAAGTGTGTTAGAGAATATGAATAAAAGTCCTCTCGAATACTCTAGTTCTGAGAGAACTAAAAAAGTAAAAAATGTAAGAAAAGAACAAAAAAGTAAAAAAATTAACCGAGAAAATTCAGAATTTCTCAAAGCCTTAAAAAGTGGTTCTGGTTTTAGAATAATTCCTAAAACTAATTAATTGCTTTAAAATGTAACTCTAAATAAAGATCACAATGATTACAAACAATAATCTGATTATTCTCGTCAACTAATTTCAATATTATAGTATTTGCCCTATTAATCATTTTGTGGTATAATAAATTATAAGGTTCATATAGAATAGCTCCGTAAGAGCTGGGACTACTATTAGTCTTAGAATTAGAACAATTATTAATTTTACAAATTATATTACTTTGCTTATTATTAATGTACGAATCTCCTATAAGATTACAAGAAACAAACATTTTGTTATTTTTATTTTTTTTGTTTGTTTTTTAGTTCAATTTCACCATCAATCTTTAAAACAGCGATTTCATATTGTTTATCAATAAAAGAAGAAGGAAAATCGTATTCAAATATAGATTCAGGTGATTTGATATGGAGATAAAAAGCTGCCATTCTTGAAAAAAATAGCAACAAAGTAGATACTTAAAATAGTTTTTTTAATTCAGTTATTTAATAATATAATAAATTAAACAGTTTAAGTAATTTTAACACTCCATAGAGATGGATTTTTTTGATTATTCTATTCAAAATTACTATACAAAGAGAAACAATAATCCATTACTTCCAAATTCAATTAGGGCTTGTATAATTGGAAAATCAGGGTGTGGAAAAACAAATCTATTGATGAACTTGTTATTAAATGATTATCTTGATTATAATAATTTATATATTTTTTCAACAAGTTTATTTCAGCCATCCTATCAAGTAATTATAAAAGGATTAAAAAATAACTTAAGTAAGAAAGAAATTAATGAGTGTTTTAGGAAACAAGATTTTACAGTTGACAAGAAAGATTCAGAAAAATCAGAAATAAAAGTTCATTGTTTTGATAATTATGAAGCAGTTCCAGATCCAAGTGAAATAGATCCAAACTTGAAAACTCTTATAATTTTTGATGATATTATGCTAGAAAAGCAAAATAAAATAGAAAATTACTATACTAGAGGACGTCACAGTAATATAGATTGTTTCTATATAAGTCAAAATTATATCAAATTAACAAAAAATACAATCAGAGAAAATGCTAATTTATTTTTAATATTCTCTCAAGATAAACTCAATTTAGATTATATTTATCGTGACCACTGTGGAGAATTAGAAAAAAGTAAATTTTATAATATGTGTAATGAAATATGGGAGAAAAAATATAATTTTCTTACTATTGATAAAACTAGTGAAAAAAATAAAGGAAAATTTAGAAAACAGTTAAAATACTTTTATTCACTTTAGAATTAGAGGTTCCTCCAAAACTTTTATTTACTTTTTTGTTTTTTGTATAATTGAATTACTTTCTGATTGTTTAGCATAAATTCTATCTGCTTTACTTCTTAAATTAATTGGAACACTAATTCTTTTATACTTATCCATATCTATATCCTCAATATTAATATCATCTAAAATGTCTAAACATTCTTTATTTGTTAATTGTTTATTGTTAGTAGTTGTAATAGATAAACTAATATGAGGTAGTTCAACTTTTTTATTTTTTAATTCTTCATGATATTTTTTAGCTAATTTATTGTAATCATCTCTATCGTTTTGGTATTTTTCCATAACAGTTTCTAGCATTTTTTTATATTTTTTACCTTTTCCTCCTAATTCTTTAATTATTAATGATTTACATTCACTTTCACACATTTTAGTTATAAGTAAATTAAATGAATATATTATTGATTCTTTCATACTTTCATTAATATTTGTTAGATTATTTATTTGATTTGTTAATTTATCTATATCATCAAGATGTCTTATAACCGTTTCTCTTGTTAAATCATTATCTAAATAGGCGTTTAATACGGCTTTATCGATTTTTCTCCTTTAAATTAACAAATAAACTTGACGAGTCCAGTTTTGAAAGAATTATGCTCGATAAGAAAATTATAGCATCTATTTATTTAGAAGATAACAGAAAATTTCCAATTATGAAATCGAAATGGCGTAAATTACATGATGTATCAGTAAAAACATTAAATAGAGGTTTAATGGAATTAAATGATAATAATTTAAATACAAGTCTATTAAATATAAAACTAAATGAGACAAGTCCAGACAACAAGGGACAAGAAGCAAAAAATAAAATTAATGAGTCTAGTTCTGAAAGAAGTATAAAATATTATAAAAATAAAATTTCAATTTTACCTTAAAAATTAAATTATGAATCCAGAGGATCCATTTCTGAAAGGAATTTCAATATTAGAATAAATATTTTTCAAATCTTTTTTCTTTATTTTTTTCATTTTTACCAATTCATCCAAAATTCTATGTATTTTATTATATTCATTCTTATTTCCTGCTTTATATGATCCAATTGATAATCTTAGCATATCTATAAGTGAATTCACATTAGACGGTAAAAAATCTATAGAGCTTCCTGTTACACTTTTTTCAGCCACACTTGAAGTAGATTTAGTAAAATAATGTTCTCTTATAAACTTCCATTTATCACTCGGATCAGAATTCAATCTTTTGTTTGGAGCATTCTTGTCAAATCCTTGATAACAAGCGTCAGAACACAAGAGTATTTGTTGATATGACTTTTTCTCATAATCACTTATTAAAACTAAATTTGGTGATTTTTTTGTTAATAATTCCATTAATCCCTCAGTAGCTTCATAATCAACATTATTAATTTTTATATTATTATTTTCAAATTTTACTGTTTTATTTCCGATTGTATATGATTTATTATTCTTATCATATCTTAAAGAATATCCGGCATTACTTTTATCTTTATCGTCTTGTAAATATGTAGCTATTAAATTACTTACAGTAATAGTTTTAGGACTAGACACAGCTTGTTTATTTGGCTCAATAGTCAACTGTTTTTCCTCTGATAATGATCGCTCTCCGCTCATTTTTAAGTTTTTGAAAGTATTCAATGTTTCAACTATTTTATTTTTTTCATCAATAATTTCTTCTTGCAATTTTTTGTTTGAATCCAAAATTGGTTTAAATATTTCAACTCTATTTTCCTCTAATTTTTCAAGTTCTTCATGTTCTTCTTGATCTTTATTTTTTTGTTTTTTTCTCATTTGTATATGTTGCTCGATTATTTCATTTCTTTTCTTTGGATCATATATTTCAACAAACGACGGCATTTCTTTGAGAAAGCAAACTATTTAAAATATAAAATTTTTAATTTTTTCAAATGGTTACTTCAGAAATTTTACTAGAGGGAATGAAACGAGATGCAATACGACATCAAGTAGTCTTAATTACTAACAAATTAAAATCACTAATTCTTTCATCTAATGAAATAAAAAATATGAGAAAGCAAGAAATGATTAGTTATATCCTCAAACATAAAGATTTATTTGATCAAATCAACTATGAAAATATATAGTTAATTTTTGTAATTAAAAGTCTTAAAAATTTTTCTTTTTAAATAAGGCCAATTATGGACCATCTCCAAAATATGTCACGGGATGAACTTCGAAGTGAAGTAGTGAGTTTTGTTAACAGATTGACACAAACGAGTAAAAAAAGTAAATTACTTACATCAACACAAATAAAAAAGATGAAAAAAAGTGAGCTGATAGAGTTTATTCAACAACATCAGGTATTAGAGATACCTCAAGAAGATAATGACAACAACAATAATAATAATAATATTGATAATTTAGAGACTCCTCTTGATAAAATCTTTCCATTTGAAGAAGGAATTTTTAGCAATTATAAGGAATTTAAAGGTGTTATTAGAGAAACAAAATATGATAATCAAAATAATGAAATTAATTTAGAAGAATATCTTGATAAATTAGACAAAAGAGGGTTTGACTACTATCAAAAAATAATTAAACGTAAATTTAATGCTTTTTTGAAAAAGAAAGAAAATAATGTAATAAATGATATGTTCAATGATAATGTAAAAATATCTCTCAGTTTAAGGTTTGAAAAAAATAAAGACGATGTTGTACAATCATTTTTTGTACAAACTAAAACTAAAGAATTGTGTATTGGTGAAGATAGAGAAGAATTTTATAAGAGTGCGAGCGAAGAATTATTAAATAAAATTGAAATATTAGAATGTAAAGGTTCAGGTTGGTATTTAAATAAAATCTGCACCTTATATATGAATCAAACTAAAATAAAACAGCCGTCAGGTTCTTCATATATAAAATTGCCTAAATGGATAGAAAGTAAAAAAGCTATTATTAATATAAAAAATAATGATAATTATTGTTTTAAATGGTGTATATTAGCTCATTTACACCCAGTTGTTCATCATGCTGAAAGAGTAACACATTATAGAAAATATGATAATGAGTTAAATTTTAGTGGATTTGAGTTCCCTTTTAAAATATGCGATATTGATAAATTTGAGAATTTAAATAATTTAGCAATAAATGTTGTAAGTTGTTCCAAGGATAAAAAAAGTTTAATAAGATTTCGTCCATCAAGAAGATTTGGTGGAAACTATAGAGTAATAAACTTATTCTGGTATGAAGAAGATGGTAATTGCCATTATAGTTTAATTAAAAATATTAATAAATTATTTAACGAATATGGGGAGCACCAAAAAATGTTCTGTATACGATGTCATTCATTTTACTATAATCAGGAAAAATTTGAAAAACATTATGAAGATTGTGGTAAACACGAACCAGTACAATATACACCTCCAACAAATAAATTTTGTGAATTTAAAAGTATTCAAAAAACACAAAAACATCGTTATGTAATTTATGCTGATTTTGAATCTATAATTAAAAAAATTGATTTAGTTAGTGATAATCCTAATAAATCATGGACTGAAAATGTAGGAAAACATGTTGCATCTGGATTTTGTGCTATTGTACTCGATTCTTACACTCACACTATTTATGATAAGAAATCGTTTATTGGTTATAATGCAGCATTACAATTTAATAAATATATAATTAAAATTTGTGACAGACTGATCAGTATTCCTGATGTAAAAATGATTAAGCTAACTGAAGAACAATGGAAACAACATCGAAAAATTAATAATTGTCCAAACTGTGGAATTCAATTTAATGATGAAAAAATGTCTACAAGAAAAGTTCGTGATCATGATCACTGGACAGGATTATATAGAGGAGCGCTGTGTGGTAAATGCAATCTAAATAATCGTAAAAATAATTTTATTCCTGTGTTTTTCCATAATCTAAAAGGCTACGACTCTCATTTGATAATGGGAGATCCGGAAAGTACAAGAATGTTGAAAAATCAAGATATAAAGATTAAAAATATTTCTTCAAATAGTGAAAAATTTATAAGCTTTAGTTATATTAAAGAAAAACCTATGATTCCACAGAAACCAATTGGAACCCAGAGTTATTCTTCAGACGAAAATAAGGAATTTTATGAAATCAGTTTCTTGGATAGTTTTAGTTTCAATCCTGCATCATTAGATTGCTTGAGTAAAAATTTAGATGATGATCAATGTGTAATAAGTAAATTATTTTATGATGATGATGACATTTTTAAGCTTATGAGAAAAAAAAGGAATTTATCCGTATGAATACATGGATTCTTTTAAAAAATATGAATATACTGAACTTCCACCAATGGACAAGTTCCATGATAATTTGAATAATAAAAAATGTATATAAGAAGAATATTTATACGCACAACAAGTATGGAAAGAAATGGAATGTCAAGATTTAGGAGATTATACAAAAATTTATATGGATAATGATGTATTATTATTAGCAGACGTATTTGAAAATTTTAGAAATTTGAGTATGAACGTTTATGGATTAGATCCATGCTGGTACTACACATCACCTGGATTATCATGGGATGCAATGTTAAAAAAGACAGAAATTAAATTAAAAACAATTGATGATAATGAAATGTATCTTTTCATTGAAAAAGGAATAAGAGGAGGTATGGTTAATGCAGTAAAAAGATATTCAAAAGCAAATAATAAATACATGAGTGAATACAATCCTAATGAAAAAAGTAAATATTTATTATATCTAGATGCCAATAATTTGTATGGGTGGGCGATGAATCAAAAACTACCTTATAGAGAATTTATTTTTGAAGATGTGGAAAATTTACAAACTGAAATAGAAATAAAAAAATTTATTAAAAAATTAAATAAACAAAATAAGGGGTGCATTTTAGAAGTTGATCTTAAGTACCCGCAAGCAATACATGATCAACATAATGACTTCCCTTTATGCCCACAAAATATAAAAATTAATAATCAAAATATTGCAAAATTAACAAATACTTTATTTGATAAAGAAAAATATGTAATACATTACAAAAATCTACTACAAGCAATGAAATATGGTTTGAAATTAAAGAAAGTGCATCGAATTTTAACATTTAAAGAAAGTAATTGGATGGCTTCTTATATAGAATTAAATACAAATCTAAGAAAATCGGCTAAAAATGATTTCGAGAAAGATTTCTTTAAATTGATGAATAATTCAGTCTTCGGTAAAACGATGGAAAATGTTCGTGGACGTGTTGATATTCGATTAACTATGGACGCAAATTATATTGTAAAATTAGCTAGTAAACCGAATTTTAAAAGAACTATAATTTTCAATAATGAATTATCTGCTGTTGAAATGAGTAAAACAAATGTTACTTTTGATAAACCTATTTATGCTGGTTTTAGTATATTAGAATTAAGCAAACATTTAATGTACGAATTCCATTATGAAGTTATGCAAAAAAGATACGGCGGAACCATTACAGAAGGGAATAAAATAAGGTTATGTTACCAGGATACTGATAGTTTAATTTATGAAATTGAAACAGAAGATGTATATGAAGATATTAAAGAAATTAAAGAATATTTTGACTTTAGTGATTATCCAGTTGATCATCCACTTTATGATAGATCAAATAAGAAGGTAATTGGTAAATTCAAGGATGAATTAAATGCTTCAATTATGACTGAAATAGTAGCACTTCGTCCCAAACAATATGAATGCAAAAAAATTAACCATTTTGAAATACTGAACAATCCAGAAAATTAGAATTTGGAGAACTCAGAAATCAAAGGTTTTCAGAAATTCAGAATTTTCAGAAATCCAAAATTTCTGAATTTCTGCATTTCCGAATTTCTGAATTTCGGAAAATTTGAACATCTGAAAAAATTTGAAATTTCTAAAAATCGAAGAATCGAGAAATTTGAGGTTCTTATATTTCTAAAAATCTGTAAGAGCCCTTTGTCTGGAAATCTCAACTTTTCCTACTTAAAGGTGGTGTACGGTGAAATTTTTTATTGCATCAAAATGTGCAGAAATGCATGTAGATTGACTTAAAAATAAAGAAAAAATTCAAAAAAATTCCTTCATCGAGAAAAACGCATCGAAAAATATGCTGAAAGCCCTTAGGGACGAGGTTTTTTTCTAGGCTGCCCGGTGAGTAAAAGCGCGCGAATTCGAACGTTTAAAATTTTTTCGCTCGTTTTCACTTTTTTTTGTTTTTTCAAGAGTTTTCTAGGTTTTTGTCAATTTATCTTCCAGACACATCGGAAAATTTGAAAAAACAGTGAAAACGAGCGAAAAAATTTTAAAAGTTTGAATTCGCGCGCTTTTACTCACCGGGCGGCCTAGAAAAAACCTCGTCCCTAAGGGCTTTCAGCGTATTTTTCGATGCGTTTTTCTCGATGAAGGAATTTTTTTTGAATTTTTTCTTTATTTTTAAGTCAATCTACATGCATTTCTGCACATTTTGATGCAATAAAAAATTTCACCGTACACCACCTTTAAAACACAAAACATAGTTGTTTATTAACATGGTGACTTTATTCAAACAATCGAGATCAATGGGCCTTAACAGCTGCAGTAGTAGTGGTGGGGGTGTTAGATGATGAAGAAACCAAACGATCCGAAGTGGTGGTAGTGGCGGTCGAAGCAGTGGTTGCTGTAATAGTCGAAGCTTGAACAGTGGTGATTCCAGTGGTAGTTGACGCTTCTTTAGATTGTCTATTTGTTGTAATCGTCGGGACTCTATTGGCAAGAGTGAAGATTGGTCCAGGAGACGTGGATAATGCCGGTGGAAGTGTTGTGGTCTCTCCTAACTCAGAAATCCGAAGAGTCTCAACTGTCGACATGAATCCCGGATGATCTTTTATGTATCCTCCGAGTGCTTTCTCTGGGTCTCTTCCATTTTCAGCCGTTTGCTTGACGAGGCCACGAACTCTTTCCAATTCACGTTCATCATAGATTGGTGCATCGATTTCTTCCTCTGAATCAGGAACATTTGTTCCAGTAATCATTGGAATAAGACCTGAAAAGTCAACTATTTGGAGCTCATCTAACCATTTTTATACTAGTAGTATAGACTGGTTGACTCTAGGACAGCTTTTGGCCCATTTCATTTTACACACAAAACAAGCAATAAATAATAACTTTATCATTTATCCACTTACTTTTATACAACAATAACACTGTAAAAATGTTTGGACCTCCATCTGGCCCACAAATTATTTTATTATTAAGATAGTCTTATAGTATGAAAAATATATGACAGTTTGATAAAAAAATTTATTGCAATAACATAAAAGAATTAACAATTGAAGAATTTAGATAAGTAATATAAACTTATCAATTGGTGAACAAAGTTAGCCTATTCTTCATCTTCTTCATCTTCATTTGGATTAGTCTCATGATCAGTAGATTGTTGACTTAATAGGCGATCAAATCCATCAAACTCGACTGTTACATCACCAGCGTACATTGGTTTTAAAAAAGTGAATTGAAAATCTTCCGCAGCAACTGGAAATGTATTTTCTCCACATCTTAAAGTGGTTGGCATGTTCCTGATTACATTTCGTATTTCTTCTGCAAGATCAGCATATGAAGCACGATCATCTCGCTTATGGAATAGAAAGCCCGTCTGCGAATTTAGTGAGTTCCACTGTTGTTGAACTATTCTTCTATAGAGTGCCCCCCGAATTCGCGTTCGTTGAGCATTATTA